GTAGATACGGAAGAAGAGACCTCCAGTCCCTCAACATCTATATAATAAAAAGGGGTTCATGGCACTTAGAAAAGAGTTAGACAGGAAAATTAGCTAAGGGGTTTCTAGATCTACTGCAAAGATACTAAGGTCATCCTATCTTGGAAGGAGCCCGCATAATCCCCTAGTGGTAAGGAAGTTAGAAAGAAACCCTGGATTAATAGTTAACTTTGAAAATGTCCCAACACCTTCAGACCTCAGGGAGAATTCCCCATCACATCATCAGGGAAACTTTAGAAAAAGCCCCAATCCTCTTAAAAAATTAGGTCCACCCCTTTTAGCCAAGAGGTATGGGTTAGAGATTGGAAGAAAAAGCTGCTCCAACCGAGCCAGACAGGTCCTCATACTGTTACAGTAGGGACTCCCACTAACATTCGCAAGTAAACAAATGAGCATAGGGGAGAAATAGAGACAAATTCTTAGTAAAACTTAAATGGTTTGTTTTCCATCAACCTTTTCTTAATAAAACCTGTCATAGGCATGCTTTAAAAATAATCCTATGCTATAAAAGACTGAAACCAAGAAAGAGTACTATAAATTTTAATCCAGTATATTACCCTAAATTAAAGCAACCTGGAGTCAGGAACTGAAAATACTACCTAAAATATCTGCCAAAATGTGTTTTATAATTTGGCCTAGCTAAAGTGTTCATTGGCCCAACATAATAGGTGTTATTAGAATATAGGATCGCTGAATTATATAAAGAATTTGGCTCAATATGATACAGATTCTATGAGGCAATTGTTATTGAATTACGTACTGCTGTACTCAGTTTGGATACATTAATTTGCAAAACCAACCGAAACATTACTAATGCAGTTAGACTCTTTCAGTTTTGCCTGCTTTATCAGCGTAGTTAAGCTTCAGGACCAGCTGCCCAGACTGTTTGGATATTCGCCAACCCCCAGCTTCCACAGAAATCCCTCCATGGATGGTGCAGATGGATTTCACCAACCCTCAAAAGTAGAAAGACAACATGCCCTACTCCAGGCACCAACCAGAAGCTGGCTGGTCTACGCATGGCCAAAGCCTGAAAAATTTCATTGTGGGGCTCCTTATAATTGGACACTGGGGCGGGAGGGAAATTAGAGTGAAGGACTGTGAGCTAGGTATTCATGTCACCAAAGGAGCTAAGAGGATTTTCACTACCTTAATCTTCTACAGCTACTATAAATGCCAGGGAACTCAGAAAGGGACCTATACCTATAACCAGACTCAGTATTCAGTATGTGACCCAGTAAATAACCAACCTTATGTGTGTTATAACCCAACTGACCCTTTCCCTGAAACACATAGCTTTATCAAACTGCGCTACACATATGTGCAATCCATTGCTTATTTAAGGCACCTGAGCCAACAAATGTAAGACCTCTAGAATTCTGGTTGTAACTCGCTATCTTCATTAATAGCAATAGATTAAAATGCAAAGGAGGCATATATTTGAAATACTAATGATAATTTGAACTGGTGATAAATATAAAAACCAACCATTTAGATTTTAAAGGTATCTTCTAAGCAAACTGAATTAGCTCTCCAAAAAGAGCTCTACATAGGCTAGATATAAACTATTGGAAACGATCCTCTGTCCAGAATAGTAGTTCACAGAATCCTTTAGCTTTGCTATGTCATTGATGATCAACGTTTCAGATTAGCAAAAACAGAGAATTCAAGTGAGAATTTGAGAAGCCCACCCCATTAATTTGGGAAGTTATAATGCGATTTCTTAGGAAGAAGTTTTTATGTCACAAAATATCAAACTTTTTTCAGGACATTTAAATCTAAGAATGAAAATATAACATTCTATCTCAAGAAAGACTGCATTTCCTAAACAGAATTAACTATGAAAATAATTAGAATCAGGGAAAAATTCATTTAATCTGCAGGATAGAGAGACGGACTCGGGTTAGTCCAGACTAGACTAAAAGGACATTCCAGTTAGATACGAGCTCTTATCTAGGGAAAATATAAGGGCAATTCTTAATTTGTCTACTCGATAAAATTAATAACTTCTAGAGTCTTAACTAAATTGTAGTACAGCAGGAGAAGGCTAAGGCACAGCTGTCCATATGGGCATTCACCCCAGCAAAGTAGTTACTAGACTAAAGCTGGACACAGACTGCAAAAAGATCCTAGAACATAAAGCCAATTCTCGCCAGGTAGGAAAGGAAAGGGGCAAATATAAAGAAGAAACAACCGAGAAGATGCAGGAATAAAGTACTGAATAGGCTGCAAGTTGAAATGAAAATTTTCAGATGATCTTTTAAATTGAATTTGGAAACATCTTAAGTCGGGTAAATACTTCTCAGGATTGAGGTTCGCATATAATTTGTCTGGCCAAACTTTGAAACATGAGGCGAATTAAAACTCATGGATTTTTCCTTTAGAAAAGTCATAAAGTTTGGGAGTACGGGAGGAGAAAGTGGGAAAAGAATTACTATATTAAGGAAGTCTTAGAGGTCATTACTAATGACCTTGCACATCGGCAGACTCAGATGAGAAATGTCACCTACCAAAACACGTTAACGCTAGAGTATCTACTAGCAACAAAAGGAGGCATGTATAGAAAATTCAATCTCATCAACTGTTATATACAGATAGATGACTAGGCCCGGGCAGTTGAGGACCTTGTTGAATGAATGACCAAAGTGGCACACGTGCCCATGCAAGTATGGCACGGACAGGACCCCGATAACCTTTCTGAAAGTTAATTCTCTACTTTCAGAGGCGATGCACTAGCTTGGAAGTAAAAAGGTATATTCTCCAGAGCCACGCAGGATGTAGCAGGATTTACCACTTGCTGGACGCAGCAGGTGACACCCGAATAGGGACGTGAGTATGGAAAAACAAGTAGAAAAAGGAAAAGGTAAAGTGAGGAAACGCCCTTGGGAAAAAAGCGTACGCAGAAGAGGAGGAGGGAGAAAATACGGATTACGGCCTGGCAGAATTCGAGAAAACGTGTGTTAAGTAAATTTAAGGACTAGGCTGTCACCATCAGGAGTAAAATATAAGACAGCAAGGGCCAAAGAGATAATCCGTTATGTACAAATGTTTAAGGCCATAGAAAAAAGAAATACTGCAGTAAAGATCTTTACGTAATAGAATTATCAGTATCTAGTCCAGGGAAATCAAGAAGGAAATCAAAAAAGTGATGCCCTAAAAAGAATTTAAATGGGCATCAAAAGCAGAGAATGAAGAGGAACTTTGGGGAATTTCATTAAAAATTAAATCAGCTTTCTGTTCTGCTTCTGTAAATATGCTTGCTTTCTGCAAAAGTGCTTGCCGCATGCAAGAGCTCACTTGCACTCTGCTCGATCTGCAAATGTAACTGTTTGGACCTTTGCTCCACGAATGTAACTGTTTGTGCCCCTAGCAGCACTCACCCTGGCAGCTCCCACTTTCCATAACAATTTGTAGCACCTTGTACCAGCCCTAACCCATGAAAACTCTCCGTAACCCATGACAACTCTTGCCCTTCTGCCAGTGTTACTACTAGCAACCATAGCAACTCTCTCCACTTGTAATGGTCTAAGTTTGAATCAACCAATCAGCTTGTGTAAAAACCCTGTATATAAGGAATGTTGCCACTGAGCACACACTGCCCAGATCTTCAGAGCATTAGCTCCTCTGGGACAGTGTGTAATAAAGTTGAGTTCTCCTCCTCTCCGAGTTACTGCTTGGTTTTTCACTGAACTGGTTTTGGGACTTTTCCACAACAAAGTGATTAGACACAGGCCATCTATTCTTCCGGCCTCTTCCTGTTGTCTAATTTCTGCCAGACTGAACAAGTCTGGCAGATTTCTACCCCGATCTTAATGTGTGTGCGTGTTCTCAACCTAGACAGAGAGCAATTTAAAATTTGCAAATGAACGTCGTTCATTAAGGATAATGCTATTTTGTTAAACAAGCTATCTGGAAAATTATAAAATTTTGTTTTGTCTGTTTTGCATTAGCCACAAGAGTGGACTTGTTTAGAATATAAAAGTACTATTTAGAATATGAAAGTCAAATTCAGCAAAAATCAAACAATGCTGGAGCTGAAAAAAACGAAGGCTTTATCTGTTTGACCGTATTAAAAGAAAAGTGAAAACAAATTTAAAAGTCTGGAATGAAGACATGCGTCTTATGCAGTCATAATGCTCTTTCCCCACTCCCTTTCAATATGAAATTGAGAACTACAGGCAAAAAATACTAAAGGCCAGAGAAACGACCTGGCAAAATGAGGCTGCTCCCCGCTCCGTGCTCGGTAAATGACGAAACGGCTGCAGAAGGAGTGGGGGTGGCGGCAGGCGTTCCGACCAGGACACGGTCTGACAGTGACAGCTGGGTTCCAGAGGCTTACCTCACACGTGCACGGTTTCACGCAAAACTACTCTTCTTAACGACAAATAATGAATCTGACACAAACTCAGCTTTGACGTTTAAAGTCAACACGTGCCAGGTCCCTCACGTTCAGAGCAAAGACTAGAAACACACACAGACAACCCCTGCCGTGAGAAGCGGTCCTCCGATCCTTCGTGAGCGAGCTCCCGCCGGCGTCGCGACCGGGCCTTGCGCCCTCACCCCGGTTTGGGTGCGTGGTGGCAGTGCACCCGTGGGCGGCCGGGCACGTGGCCGGGAGACAGGCCCGCTGGGCTGTCAGCTTCTCTTATTTTTCGACCACATTTATACTCTGGTTTTAGATGGCTTTCCCATAAGTGAAAATCCAATGAAAAGTTCCAAACCTGTTTTTTTTTTTTAACTGCAGGAATTTCTTCACATTTTATAAACAAAAATATCAGAAATGAAAGAGCCGACAAATTCAAGCAGACCCGAACTCTACCATCCACTTCTCATACTTCTCCAGGTCTGCGGCGGAGACGGACTTGGCGATTTTCTTCAGGGCCAGCTCGAAGTCACCGCTGGTCACCGGCATCTGCAGCTCCTCCCTAGACAGCGCGCGGATCTCCTCGGGGCTCAGGCCGCTGATGCGCCGTCGCATGGCCATTAAGGCCGCGTCCCTGGAAGGCACCAGAGCCGGTGAATGCCCACCCTGCACATGGCCGCGACACGTCCAGCGTAACAAGGCTGCGGACATATCCGAAAGGTCACGTGACGTGTGTTTACAATGCTGCCTGGAGTGTTCTACATGGCCTGGGGGCTCGGGGGAGGTGGAAGAGGACGCAAAAGGCTCGAATGTAAATAGCACCGGAACTGGACCCTGGAGGTGCAGGTGAGCTCGGAGGGCACTGAACTGTCCCCACTGGCTCCTCAAAGGCAGCCAAGAAGTTCAGGAAACTGAAGCAGAACTGTGAAGTCTGAATTGTACACGTGGCAGTAAACACACGGGTAAATGTTAGGGTAATTCACAGCCTGGCCTGGTTCACCACGGCCACTTATGTCAATTCAGGTATAATTAGGAAAGTAGGAACTAAAAGAAAAAAAAAAACCCCACTGAACAGTGTGAATTGTCTAAAAATTAGGATACCACTAAACCGAAATGAAAATTTTAGTATGTATCTTTCACAGCTTAAACAGGTCAATTCTGTTCATTTGCATATAGTAAAATAATCCAGCCTAAACTACAGTTATTATTTGATATTGATGCGGGTGGGCCCTAATTTAGGGCCAAATTAACCTTAAGTTGCCACAGTCATTATTTGCAAGCTAGGCACAATGATTTCTTGGAGAAAGTGACCATCTTGCTACCTAACTATTCATCTAACAGTAACCAGGGAAGTTATGTACGAAAAAACAAGACAAATGGGAAGTCGTGTCAAGGAAACGGGCAGCAGCAGTCACGCCAGGGGCTGACAGCTTCAACACCACTCGGGCCCGTCCTGCTAAACGCGGCTGACGCCTCAGGCCGCAGACCCCCACAAACCTGCAGACGTTGGTTATGTCGGCGCCAGAGTAGCCCTCGATCTTCGCCGCGATGTGCGCCAGCTGAATGTCGGGGTCCAACTCGACCTCGCGGAGGCTGATCCGTAGGAGCTCGGCCCTTCCTTCTGCTGTTGGGAGACGTTGTGCTGTTGTTAGATGTTTTTCTTTATAAACCAGCCGATGAGAAATCACATATGAACATTCAGGAGAAGAGAGACTAATGCACACACGAGTCAGAAACTGTGAGTCCACTGGCGTCACCAAGTCACCGTGTGACTCACGGAGCCATTTAACCTCCCATGTGCCTTGGCTGCGGCAACTAAAAATGGAAACGGACTCAGATCCCTTTACAGATGGCGAAGATACTTGCTGTGAGGACAAAGGGTCTGAGATCCTTTACGAAAAATAAAAACATTAGTATTCAAGCCCCAGAAATGCTTTTAATGAAAAAACAAAAAACAAAAAAACGGCTTTGGTTATACACAACCGGACTGCACAGAGTCTAACTCCTATGAGTCACTTTGCCCACCTCTCACACGATATCGGGAAAAAGTCCCACAACTCGGTCAGTAGTTTTTTTTAAAACCCAGTTTTCTTTTTCTGAAAATCAGCGATTGGCACAAAATGCTCATTAATGTGCATTCCACTTGGAAAGCCAGCCACAGACGTGGGTGGTTCAGTGGGACTGCAACGTGGACGAGTAAGCTCAGACCAACCACGGAATTTTCCAAAAAAAAACAAAAAACAAAAAACCATGCTCGCTGTCTTGCCATAAGTTTTAGTGGCAAATCTGCTTCATACGGCACACTGAGATAATCTGTAAGAGGTCCGGATATGGCCTTCTACTATTTCCTGATATGTAAAACAAAATTTTATTTCCCCCAACTTTTATTTTGAAATTTTTTAAATCTACAAGTAAAGAAATAAAATCAGTGGACACTCATTCACCTTTCGTGGAGATTAACTGATTGCCAACATTTTGCCATTCCCACTCCCTTCTCCCCTCTCCCCCACTTTTTAATGGAAAACTAGCTATGGGCAGCACAACGCTCCACCCTAAATTCTTCAGCATGCACCTCCCAAGGACACAGGCACAGTGCAGATTAAATGTCCCCGTCTGTTCAGGCCTTTATCACTCTCTTAAAACCCATCACACAGTTGCACTTAGTTAGCATACCTTCTACTCTTCTTTAATCTAAAACAGTTCCCAGTGGGTTTTATTTTTTTTTCCTGTCTCTTTGACACTGACAATTCCCCTCAAATGCTCCTACAGAGTCAACGCATTCCAATGACGATCCCAACAGGTCTGTCTGGAACCAGACAGGCAGGTACTAAAATGTTTATGGAAACAGAACCAAGAACAACTGAGACACGGGCAGAACAGCAGCAAGGTGGGCGGACCTGCTGTCAGATTTTAAGACAGAGCAGGAAGACTCATGTCAGTGTAACGCTCTTGCAGAGACAGACACATGCATCAGTGACACAGAACAGGGCACCCAGAAGCGGATCGGAGCTTTTACTGTGCATGCCTGATCTACCACGCGGCGGCCCACATGGCGGCCCAGGTGGCGGCCCAGGTGGAGTGTCTTCTCAGTAAGTGATGCCAGAGGAGATGACCAGTCTCGGGGCCAAACAGAGCTGGGTCCTATCTTATGCCACACACAAACACCAGGACCAGGTATATCACCAATTTACACGTGAGCTGCAAAAACATAACCTTTTTAGAAAATAAAACAGAAAACTATCTTAATGACCTCAGAAAAGTAGTCTTAAGATATAGAGTCAAAACATCAACTACAAAGAAAAAGACTGATGAGCTGACCACGTTAAAACTAGAAATTCCTATTTTTCACATTTATCAAAAAATATTACAAATACAGTGAAAACATACACGCAAGTTTTAGAAGATATTTACAACAAATGTAAGTAACAAAAGACTTACATCCAGAATATTTACAGAACTCCCACAAAGCAACAAAGAAAAATCAAATGACCTAATAGAAAAACAAGCAAAAGACTTGAATAAATACATTGCAATATCCAAATGGCCAGTAAAGGAAAAGATATTCTAATAATGAAGGAAATACAAATTAAACCACAGAAATGTATACCGAGACACGGGCGTAAGCTGAAAAGTCTGCCGAGCCAGGTGCCGGGGATGTGGGGCAGCAGGAGCGCCTGCACGGTGCTGGCAGCAGGGACGCTGGGCCGGCCTCCCGGGAAGGCAGGCCAGACTTGTGACCTGGGGTCCCAGCTACGCAACGTGGCCCAGCAGCACACCCTGTCCTCGCCGGGAAACTGAGGTGCCCGCCCCGGCGGACAGCGTACAGACAGACGGTCATAGCAGCAGCACTGGTAACGGCGTGAACTAGCCACAATCAGAGTGTCCCTCACGAAGGACGACGGAAGCCTGTGGCATGGTCCTATGCTGGATGTGGTGGCTGAGCTGTGCCCCCAACCTAACCTCCGGCAGCTCGGAACGCGACTGTGTTTGGAGATAGGGCCCTAAACAGGTGATGAAGGTACCGTGAGGCCGGGCAAGTGGGCCCTCGTCTTTATAAGAGAACCTCGGGACAGAGACACGCACAGGAGAAGACCGCATGAGGACACAAAGAGAAGGTGGCCGTCCGGCCAAGGAGAGAGGCGGCAGAATGAGAACGACCCTGCCAACACGTCGACCTGCACTTCCGGCCTCCGGAACTGAGGGAAACATGTGTCTGTCATTTGAGGCCCCGGCCTGTGGCACTTAGCCGCAGCAGCGCTAGCAGACTGACGTGACAACATGCCGCACGGCAAAAAATGCCTGCAGAGATGTGACACAACACGAGTGGACCTGAAAACATGCAGAGCGAAAGGAGCGAGGCACAAATAAACACAGTGCGATTCCATTTACGCAAAGACTGCTCGGGCATCCGTGACTAGGTGACAGAATTATAAGGAAAATGAGACTTTGTTCCCGTAAAGAGTGCAGTGACTACCGTGACCACCACCAGGAGGCCAGTGGGCTGGACGGGGAAGGGCACGCGGGGAGCGTCTAAGGCCTGACGTACTCCGTTTCTTTTCCCAGGAGGTGGTTATATGATTGTTTGATTGACCGATAATTAGACTATTTTAATCTATGTTTCTGTATCTGAGTAAGAGTCACAGGCACGCGCGCGCGCACACACACACACACACACACACACACACAAAGCAAAGAGCAACAGCAGCAGAAAGCGAAGCAAGCTGGCATCATCTAGGATTGCCAAAAAAAAAAAAAAAAGGAGGTGTGTGTGAGTAGAAACCTTTAGCTGTAGAACCCCTTAATTTCAGGTGCCCCACCCTCGGCCATCCTGCGCCGACAGCCCACCTGCAGTTCACAGGGGGACACCCGAAGGAGCCCACCCAGCGGGCAGGCAGGGGAGTGGGAAGGCGGAGGGCAGGGAGGGCACTCCCAGGTCCACGCTGGGGGAGGGGGCTGTGCCCCTGGCGCCCCAGTAAGGTCTCCGAATGTGACCTGCGAGCCCCGTTTCACAGCGCTCCACGTGCAGCGGGAGTGTCCGGAACAGGTGACTCTGCCCTCAGTCCCGACATTAGACCAGCCCTGTATCTGCCAACTGTCTGCCTCGGAGCACAACAGCCAGCTGCTGGTCACGGGCTCTCCCAGGGACTGGGGTCTGGCCCGCAGCACAGGCCAGCTCCCGAGTGACGAGTGACAAGTGCTGGTCACGGGCTCTCCCAGAGACCGGGGTCTGGCCCGCAGCACAGGCCAGCTCCCGAGTGACAAGTGACAAGTGCTGGTCACGGGCTCTCCCAGGGACCGGGGTCCAGCCTGCAGCACAGGCCGGCTCCCGAGTGACGGGTGACGCGCCACACTGCAGCCGAGCACGAGGCGTCCTCCCGCTCCCCAGTAACTCTGACTGTCAACACTGGCTGCATCAGCGCTCCGTCAGAAGGCTCTACGCAGGATTCACCAGCTCTGTGAAACTGATGAATGCAGCCGTGACCCTGCGGAAGGATCAGCGGGGTGACGTGTCAACAGCAGGGCCGGGCGCTGCCCACGCACACAGCCAAGCCTCCAGTTCAAACACGAGCACCACTGTCAGGAGGACCCTGGCTTACCCCAGGGGTGACAGTGGTCCCTGGGCACACTGGGCAGCCGCACAGTGGGCACCGTGTGTGCCCTGGCGCCAGACCACGCGCTCACAGCCCGCTCTGCTGTCCCAGGCCTGGCACCCACCCACTCAGTGCCCCACTTCCTCAGACACAAAGTAACAGAGAGAATAGAGCCCACTTCCTAAGACTGTCATGAGGGTTAAATGAGTTAACGCAGGTAAAGCCCGGCCCACAGCCGGCACCCAGTAAACGCTCACCGCCCCATCATCACCATCAGTCAGTCAACAAACAGGAGCAGAGGGAGACACAGGAAATCCAGGTCCCCTCCATGAAGGAGCATCTGGGAGACAGGTACCAAGGACGAAACACTGAGGACGTGGAGCCACACAGGGAGAGTGCCAGGGCAGACGTCACAGAGTCAAATGCTTTCCTGTCGCCTTTGAACAACCAATAAAATGTAAATGGAAGGGACGAGAAAGAACAATCTGGGAAATGGGAGCATCACAAATAATTACATGCAGTAGGAAGAAGCACGCGAACAGCAGAGTGAAAGAAAGGTAAGTAGAAAAGTACAGCACCGTGCTGACTAGACAGCTCGAGATGTTTTAAAAATCGATGGAACAGAATGAAGAATTCAGAAATAGACCCACACGTACACACCAAAATAATTTTCAATAAAAGTGTCAAAGTAATTCAGTGGAAAAAGAAAATTCTTAGCAACTGGTGCAAGAACAACTCAACACACATAAGAAAAAAATGAAACTCAACCCCTGACACATATCTCAAAATTAGCCCAAGATGGATCACAGATCTAACTAGTTTCTGAAAGGAAATACAGGAGAAAAACTTTGCCCTATTGGGGTAACCAAAGACTTAAGATACAAAAAGCACTGCCCATTAAAAAAAAATTTGACAAGAGGACTTCATCAAAATTAAAATGTCTGCTCATCAAAAGACACCGTACGGAAACCTGAATGAGAAATCGCAAACTGGAAGAAAATGCCCACAATGCTCACAGTGCCCACAAGGCACGTATCTGATAAAGAACTACACACCACTAAGAAAACAGCAAATAAACCAATTAAAACTGAGCAAAAGACCTGAACAGACACTGCACGAAAGAGACGCGATGGCCTAGGGCACGTGAGAAGCGCTCCACGGCACCGAGAGCATCCCTCACTCAGCAGGACCACCGAAGGGAGACGCTGACCAGGGCGGGGAGGCACGGCACGCTCGCTCCCGGCGCTGAACGTGACGCAGCACGGCCACGCAGGTTTGGGTTTGGCTGTTTACACACGTACCCAGTCTCGGGTCCACCTGTTCTCACCTACGGTCCCCGAAAGAGCTGAAAACGTTCACACAGAAAAAACTTCTGGGAGACATTTACTGCTTCACTCGTAACAGCCCAAACCTAGAAAACTCAAATGTCCACCAAAAAGAGAACGAACCGCAGTATAATCGTACCACAAACAAAACTCCTGACACATGTACCGGCGCACGGTGACTCTAACAGTGCCGGGCCGAGTGACAGCGGCCTGCACGCGGAGTGGTACGTCACGGTGCCAGTTCCGTGGAGCCAACCTATGGCGATGAAAACCGGGAGAGGAAAGGAGGTCTGACGGGACGACAGGCGGCACAGGGAAACGTCCCGGGCTGACGGAAGCGCCCCACGTCACGAGCAGGTGCTGGCGTGACGGGAGCAGTCATCTGTCACCACTCACCGGATTCCACACTCAAGATCTGTACACTTCACAGCGTGTAAATTTTATCTCAATATAGAAAGAAAAAAGTCACTTGTAAAAATTTCAACGTTTGTCGATACGATGAAATTACATCTTTCAAAGCAGCGTATTTTTAAAAAGATCTCGAGAGAACTTCACTTTTAATCACTTCAGCTTTCATGAAGAGCCTTCGGGTGTAAAAGTAAGGACTCAGCTGCCTGCCGGGGTCACGGACATGAACTCCGCTCTGAACTAAGACTCTCCGCTGAGCGCCGGGGCCGCCAGGCCACCACGAGTCGCTCTGTGATGCCATCGACCTCCCAACGGAGTGAGGACTTCGAGGGATTTTAAAAATGTAACAGAAGCAAAAGAAAGGGCGAAACACAGTCGAAGGAACGCACCGTACCTGTTGGGAGAGGAATGTAAATCCTTTTCTCCAATCTCCTTCGCAGGGCTTCGTCGATGTCCCACGGGAAGTTGGTCGCGGCCAACACCATGACCATCTTGGAAGGGTCGTCGCTCTCCAACGCGCCTCCAACTCCTACGACGGCAAGGGGGAAAGAGCGTTTTCCTCACAGTCCGTGTTCTTCCATCCAAGCGACAGTTCTCAGCAGCGGCCACAGCCGTGGAGGTGGGCTCCGCACGAACTGCCGCCGAACCCGACACGTCAACAGGTGACTACGGAACGAGGTAGGAGAGTTCACATAATCTATCGCTGGACTCTAACCCAGTAAGAAAAACCATATTTTCTGTAAGGAAAATGAGTGGATACTTCCTCTGAAAGGAAAAGGCATAGGGGATTATGTTCTTTAGTTTTCTCTAATTTCTTTAAATCATGAAGATCCTCAAAAACTTTTTTTAGTTGTCAGTCTACTTGATCTTCACAAGAGAGAACAGAAGGGGGTTCACATTTAATTAATATACTTGCGTACAATCATAGTTTTGAAATGCAGGTTATACTGTAATAGTTTTTTCCTTCAAACGTCTAAGGGACTCAAAAAATAAACAAAAAATTTAAGAATAAACCTAATAATCAGTCACTACTGAAAAAACCGTTTCTTTTTATACCCGTCCAAATATACGTATGTAGAGTCTCCTTTTTCAGAATTACAATTTTAGAATAAAAAACTTAAGGTTACACAGGAACTCTGGAAAATATGCAGTGAAAAAAAAATATCAGAAACTCACAAACTTTACCAGAGTTTCTAGCCTGACACAGCAAAGTAGTGGATTTAAAGCAATCCAGTTCAATATGGTATTTTCTTAATAAATTATTACTAAACTACTATTTAAATCATTATCACAAAGAATCAAGCTGTCCAACTAATAATCAGCAGTCACAAATACAAAATTTTGTGAAATTCGGCTAATTCGAATCCAGTGATATTTTTAAAACACATGATGTGTTTTCTTCTATACCACTCCCCACAAATACGACACAGCCGCTCCTTCCCCTCACTCTCCAGCAGAAGTTGAAATGGCCCATCTTTAGGGGCCGGGGGCGGGGCTGTAGTAACCCTCTTACGCATCTTCCTATGCTTGGCACCGGACGCGACACCCGTGGTAGGTAATCAATGAACACCCAGGGTGGGGGGCAACCATGCTGTTTTACAATGGCACACTCGGGGTATTTTTTAACGTTATGTTTTCTCACGGTTTGCTTAAGCGGCCTCCTCGTTCAGCACACAACAACCAGAGTAACGTGTCTCTAAACATGGCTCTGGGCCCGTCACGCTCTCCCTTCAGGGGCTCGCCCAAGCCTTTTCTTGGACTAACGTGCACGAGTGCGTCCGAGCCGGCCTCGGCTAGTCCCTCCACAACCCCCACCGTCTGGGTGGCGCCTCCCCTGCTGCGTGCTGGGATGCACCCCAGGTCCAGTTCTGGCCCGGAAGCGACGCCACACCGTCACCGCCTAAGTGCCTGCTGCCCACCTAGGTTGGTGGCCTGCACACACTTCGGCCTCAGGACCCTTGCACAGACTCTTAAAAGTCACTGCATTCTGAAGAGCTTCTGTGTGTGTGGCAGACATCCACCAACACTTACCACCAGAAATTAAAACGGAGAATTTTTTAAAATATCAACTCATTTTTAAAGTGATAATAAAAGCCATTATTTGTTAATACATTAAATACCATACTTTTATGAAAAATAACTGTAATTTTCCAAACCAAAAAAATAAGAAAAAGAGTGTGATTTTTTTTTACGTTTTTGCAAACCTCCTGAATGTCTAACTCAATGGAGAACCACTGGATTCTCTGTCTGCTTCTGCTCCCAGTTTATTACGTCCCACATGTCCTCTGGCCTCTGGAAAGCCACTTGTAAGAGAAGGAGACTGGATGTAGAGGTAAATAATGTCTGGATATCACTACGAAAACAGATCAGCCCTGTTTCCCAAGGGGTCTGAAGGCAAAAAAAAACAAACAAAAAAACAGAGTCTCAACGCCCCCTGGGACCGCCTCTGGAACCTCCGCTCCCAACAGAAATCCCTCAAAGGCCACGACATTCCTCTTCTCTGTAACCCCTGAACCTGACTCTTAACAGACAGACGCATGATCAAATGCAAAGTGGACGAACAAATGAGCTCAGACTGCCTTCGAGGCCATCCACGGAGAACTTCCAAGGTACGACTCTACGGAAAACGCCCAAAGGAAACACAACACGTCTGAGGCCGCGATCGGACGGTGATTACCATCCATCTGGACGAGCAGCTCGGACTTGACTCTGCGGCTGGCCTCGTGCTCGTCAGAGGTGCCCCGGCGACTGCAGATGGAGTCGATCTCGTCGATGAAGATCGTGGTGGGCGCGTAGAACCTAGCCTTCACGGAAACATCATAAAGAAATCATTCAGTGATCTGAATTTTTAGAAATTCCATTTCTAAAACCACAATAAACAGCAGATGTTTCTCACTGCTTTAATGTCACATTTGGTCACTGACTGAGGTTAAATTGATCGTTCACATCCAAAAAGGAAAGTTCCAGAAACACAAAATAGGTTACGAGATTGGTGAAGCTGGGCGACGGACGCATGGGGGTTCACGGCACTGTTCTTCTGCTTTTGCGTTAGAAAACGTCCGTGATACGAGACTTTTGAAAGTTATGTCACCAACCTCCGTCCTCGAACACGCACTCATAAGTAACTGCTGCCACTCCTTTAGGAAAAGGGACATACTACAGTGGCAGATCGACTTCTAACTGCTCTTTCAGAGACGTATTAAAATGGACTTCCGCTCGCCCTGCCCACTGGTCCCGGGAACACCTCAAAGCCTCCCCGCCCTCGCGGACAGGGTGCCAGAGGGCCTCGCTTCACTCAGCAAGGAAGGGACGCCAGAGGCACATCACAACCCCACACGCCCCCCCATCCCACGCCGTATCAGTGTGTCACAGCAGGCCACCGGCCCTGCGTGAACGACCTAGATTATAGCAGCGTCACTTGCCTGCGCCAACAGCACTCCGAAATCTGAGCAGAACGCCACTCACCATTTCAAACAGCAGACGGACTAACTTCTCAGATTCTCCTCTGTACTTAGACGTCAGCGTGGACGAGGAGACGTTGAAGAAGGTTGTGCCACATTCGGTGGCGACGGCTTTAGCGAGCATGGTCTTACCAGTGCCAGGGGGTCCGACCATCAGCACGCCCTGAGGCACCAAAGATTTATTTCAGTGAGTGGCTTATCGGGTTAAAATGCTTTCTCATAAAATACTGTAGAAGGAAAACGTCCCAGCAGAAGATAAACTCAATTGTTACAAGAAAACCATGGTGAATTTGGCACGAGTCTCATTTTATAGACAGAAAACCATGAAGAGTGAAGTCACAAAATGTCACACATCAGAGGCACTCAGACGTGGGCTGACAAGGGCCTGGACGACAAGGAGTCTCCTGATGCGTTTGGACAGACGCTGTCCACTCTCCCTAAAACTGGCAAGAGATAAATATGCACAGTTTTGAATATCACTTAGGAGAGACTGCTCTGTGTCAACGAAATGAAAATAAAACCTGTCTCCCACAACAACTGACGACACAGCTTTTAATCAAAAACAAAGAATCATTCCTTAGTTAATAAGGTAACTAAAACCTAGTAGGGATTCAAACAGAATCGAATTAGCTAGCATTTTACCAGCTAGCGAGTTAATCATGTACACAAACTAGTGTCACTGATGAAAGAGCCACTAAACGTGACATGGACTGGAAACTGGATCTTAGTTACTTCTCACTTTTGAAAACAAAACAGAAAAGCATGAAAGAGCCACTAAACGTGACATGGACTGGAAACTGGATCTTAGTTACTTCTCACTTTTGAAAACAAACAAACAGAAAAGCATTCTATAAAAATAAATCAATGAGGAGTAAAAATCGTTTGGGGTCACCAATCCTGGTCTGAAGACTCACGGACTCTCAGTCGCTGACTTCACTAGCCACCTTAACAGTTCCGCTGACAGCCAGCATCACATTTCTTCTGCATAATCGTTGCTGATCTTAAGAGAAAGTCTGACCCGTCTGTTAATTTAGTTTAAAGCTGGGGATTTAAACTTTAAAACGACGTGTGTGTCCGAGTTTCTTAAACTAAATTGGGAAACTGTCCAAACCCTTTCAGGCTGCAACACGGACCCCTAGAACCACCAGGGACCACCAGGATTTAAAACACTAGATTTATAAAAAATTTTTTTCCTTTACAAGGAGCTTTTAACTGCATGAGATTGATACCCTGAAAGCTATAAAAACGACTAACGGTGCAGGCATGGCTACAGCCAAGTTCGTGCTTCCTTCTGCGATGTCCCCTCCCTTTCGCGCCCTCTCGGCTCCTGTCACGTCGTCAGCGTGGCCACCACACACGTGGCTCGTGGCCGCCGTGCAGCGTCTGCTCCTCCGCTCCCCGCGACGTTGCTCCCCCATCGCCTCCTCTGCTTCCTGCGTCGCCTGCCCTGGCTCTTTCCCAGCTACAGAAACGTGCTTAAGTGGGTCCCGTTTTTTAAAAGTCCTTCGCCTGACCCTACGCATCCTCGGGCTGCTGTCCGCCTCTCCTTCCGTCCCGGGCCGACCTGTCTTATCAGTGCTGCTTCATGGGCTACGACCAGCTTCTGCCTCCACCTCTTCACCAAAAATACCTGATTTTCTAATCCAGCGGTCACCTTCCAGCCCGCACCCTCTCCCTCTGACCTCTGGTGTGCAGACACCGGTACTTGGTCCCTTCTTCCCGAGACCCTCCCTCCCAGGGACGCTGGGACCCTGCCCTCTCCACCAGCACCACCTTTGGCGTCTCTGGGCCTCTGCCCCGAGCCCTGGGCATTCCCGCAGCTCTTGTTCCTTCATAAAACTCCGTGGACGACTTCGCCCACAGCTGTCCCTCCTCTGCCTAAGCCCCAGCCTCTGGTTCCAGTTGCCTCCGAGCGTTTACCTAACGTTTCGTCTCTGTCGGAACCTGCCCGTTTCTGGATTCCCAGCGCCGGTTCACTGCGCCCCGTGTCACACAGCACGCTGGCCTCCCCTGCTCCCAGGAGGCACACTCCAAATCCTTGGACTGTCCTAGGTGACTTACGGTAGCCCCCTAAGAGATGACTCAGGATGGAGTGGGCAACTGGCCTGGCTGGAAAAACCAGCCGTGTGACCGGAGGGCTGGGGCTCGGGGCCCTGTGCCATCAACCCGGGGACGGGGATGGGAGCTGAAGCTCACGGGCCACCACCCGATCAGCCGTGGCCGTGTAATGAACGCCACGAAAACCCGGACGCCGACGCTCAGCGGGCCTCCCTGTTGGCCATACTCTAGGTTCTGTCCACGTCCACGTGCTAGGAGGATGAAGCACCCCGACCTTGCCAGGAGGGGACACAGGCCAAGTGTCCCGCCCCACCGGGAGGGGACACACACAGGCCTTACTCTCAGCGTCCCCCCATCTCACCCCATGCATCTCTCTTGAGCCGGCTCTGAGGTACCTCTTTCCACTATAATAAAGCTGTAATCTTAACTACGATACCTTCCTAAGTTCTGTGAGTCATTCTAGGGAATCATTGAAATTAGACAGGGATAGTGAGAAAGCTCAAATTTATAGCCAGCTGGTCAAAAGTGAGGGGGACCTAGGGACCCGTAAGTTTGCAGCTGACATCTGAAGTATGGGCAGGCTGGTGGGAAATAGCCCCTTGACCTGTGAAGTCTGGCCCGGTCTGGGGTAGCTGCCACCCCTCAGTTAGGCCTGGAACCCAGAGTCGGACATCCTACCAGTCACGATGTTACCACTTACACCCCCTAAAAGCCTCTCACAAACCCGCCTGCCTTCTCTAGTCAGATAACAAAGGGCTTAACTATGGCAACAGCCTCCGATCAGACTCGTCATCCAGCCCCGCCCCTCTGGCCCACGGCCCACGGCCCACGGTCCACCCTCCACTCCGCCTCAGGCCGCCTTCCCACATCTGCAAATCGCCCTGCCACTGAAACCTGCTGGCTCATCCTGAAGGGAGGCCGCACCTACCACTCCGGCTATTTTAAAGCTCCTTTAAATACCAGCTTTAAGATCTCAGTCTCTCTTTTCAATATTGTTTTAGAAGCTATAATAAAGGGAGAATGTACGGTATACAACATGGTCCCTGAATTAGGTAAATCTATAACTGTCTACAGAAGTTTTTAAGTCGTGAGAGGCAACCAAAATGCCAGGTGCCCCAAGCCGTTCGTAGCAACGAACAGGAGTCGGTCCTGAGAGGAGAGACAGCCCCCGGCTAAGCCAGGAGGGCAAAGTCAGATGAGCTTTCAGTTCCGTCTCCCAGCCAGAGGAAAGGCAGGGCCCGGCTAGGCAAAGACCAAAGCAAGGTCCGGCAGCAGCTGCTCGAAGCTCTAACGTGAAAACAGACTCAGGAGGAGCTAGTCCCGGGCAGGCTCTAACGCAGGGAACAAGCTAAAAACACACACGTTCTAACTGGGTCCGAGAATTATATCAAATCTAGATGAAGTGATCAAAATCGTGAATTAGTGAGAAACACGCCAACTTTCAGAAATATATTTATTGGTTAAACACCTATTCTATAAGACTATGTACCAGTAAAATTTAATTTGCTTAACATATTTACAGAAACAGACACCTAGAAAATTCCCAAAACTACTCTCTGGGTCAGTGACCCTGTGGGAAGTGACTTAGCAACCCTCCAAGCCCCTCCGTGTTTGAACTACAAGTTCAAACCCGGACACGGGGGGTCTAAGCAAACCTCCCCCGACCTTCACAGCCGTGCAAACACAGGACGGAACTGCGATGCTGTCTTTCGTTACGACACAGGCAGCGTTTTCTATACCTGTGTTGGTGTAGCGAGTTCTCACCTTCCACGGCCTTCGAATCCCTTTGAAAAAGTCGGGCATCCACATTGGGAGGACGACAGCTTCCCTCAGCAGCTTCTTCGCTTCCTCCAGGTCTGCTATGTCGTCCCTGTGCGAGACCAGCAAAGTTCCATGTTTATTCAGGGACATCTATGACTGATGGTCAACACTAAGCCTTTTCATTGTTTCACTTATGAAATTATTCTTCATAAATTAAGAACACTATTTAATTCTTACCGCATAAAATGCGATCAGTGATCAGATAACATTGCAGTTATTAATTAGGACATGTCATTCAATTAACAGCCTCTGTCAGTCACACCACCATCAAATTAACACGTAAAGGATCTCGGTTCTGTTCTGAAAAAACAACTGTCCTGCCGCTCCGCACCCTCGCGTTACGGATGAAGCCACGAACGGAAGACGAGGGGGTGACGAGGGAAGACGCGTGCCAAGCTGGCAGCCACGGCCGGCTCTCTCCGCCACCTCGATTCGCCAGCCCGGAAACACTGACCAGTGAATGCCAGGGTTCCTGGACACGATGTCTCTCTCAAGGGCCTCCACCAAGTCCTTGTCGTACCCGGCACCGTCGAATTTGGGGATTTCGCCTTCGCTGCCACCATCTTGCCCATTCTTCCTTCCCTGGGGACAGACGTAAAAGCAGGACCGGTCGATAACGACGCAGTTCTAAGTGACATCTTTAAGCTGTAAAAATACTTAATGTAACCATTTTTAAAAAATAATTTTTCATTATTTTAAGATAGTGTTTTCTGATTACCCAAATGCCACCCTCCCTTATTTAATTCATCAGAAACGGATGAATGGGCCAACTTTATTATATGTACACTTCTTCAAACTTATGATCTGCAGGGGAGAGCTGCAGGAAAGGCCGAAATGGCCGTTGCAAAACGCCCCTGGATTTCTGGGTGCAGGGACCCCTACACCACCAGAGAGGATTCAGAAGAGTAATGCAGAGGAAGGAGGGAGATTCACGTACAGAGAACGTGCTACACGCCAGAAACCTCACATGTATTCCCTCGTTTCATACTCGCCCCGGCCCGACAAGGTAGTCGTTGTGATTGCTTTTACAGGTAAGGAGCTGGGACTCTGAAAGGCTGAGTAACTTACTCAAGTTCATGACAATGTCAGAGCAGGGGTTTTACCACGCCCTGGACTGGGCATTGGACCGTCCCCTGCCCGGCTGAGTCACTTAACGCTTAAGAGCAGGTTGTGTATGACCGGAGGCAGCCTCCGAGAGAGAGGCTGCGGACGCGGGAGCCCGGGGCCCTGGCATGCGTCTTACAGAGCCTTCTCCCCGCCACTGGCAGTAGGTAACCCCCCGGGTTCAGCTTCGCCTAGTCAGGGCCTTGGGCCACATCATAACGTCACTGTAATGACGATGGGAGGGGCCCTTCCCAAAAAGTATCATTAAGACCATTAAAGCAATACCCTTTACCCCAAATTCTTTACCTAATAATACGGTGGCTTTTGAAGAATTATGGGCTATAGTTTCTCAAGGGTTCTGCCAAGATGTACTCAGCTCCAAAGAGCTTTAAATGAAACGTGCTCAGGTCCCAGAGGCAGTTCAGCCACTGGAACCGCTTCAGCAGACACGGCCAAGCACCTGCCCAAAGCATCGGACCCATGGCTGCCATCTAATGCAAAAATAAAAGGGGAAAGCGGTCCAAAAATGAGTCTGTTTCCTACGCTTAAACCTGGAGAGCGAGGCCAGGATGAACCTCTCCTACCACACGGCATCGGAGACAGACCCAGGGCCGGTCCTAAGTGTCCAGAGGGGCCTAAGTGACTCCCTTTGGCAAATGCTCTAAGTTTTTAAGCCTCTGGGAAAATGACCAAGCAGTATTTTGGTGACTTGACCAAAAAATGAGTGATTTACTGTTTCTGGTTAGCATGGCAATAGTATTAAACTAAATTTGCAGAAAAGAGTCCTGTGTTTCAGATGACAGATACCAATACTGTCACTATTAAAAGGAGTCCCTTCTGGCATTCCTACGCAACACACACAGCAACAAATTTAAAATAACCTCAACCTAGACTCACGTTTTATACTACACACAGGCCAAGGCCACAAAGTCACATTCAAACAAACAGCTGGGAACACGCTCGTAAGCATTTTAAAACTCTTCTAGAAATGAATCGACTACAGACTGCAACAAGAATTACTATCTCTCGCTACGGCACTGCAAACAGACTCACGGAAGAATCGGTACCGCGAAACGCAAGCAGGCGGCCATGCTGGCTTGGCACTCTGCCGGGGGGAGGGAGAAGCTGACACTTCCCTGACAGTGACAAGAGTCCCAGGACTGTAAGAACAAGAAGCATGTGAGCACCTGTGTCCGGCCCACTATACTGAGCGTCGGTGTTAGATCAGCGAATGAAAACACAATACCTGCCCTCGCTGAGCATCGAGTCTAGTCGCCAACCCAAAACACACGTAATTATGAACTGTGACGTGCCATGAGGACATGGAGTGGTCAGTGTGACGGAAAGTTACTGAGCAAAAGGAACAGGCTGGAGAGCCGGGCAGCGCCAGCCCACCTGGGCCCCTGCAGGCCAGGGAAGGGGCTGGGTTTCACATAGGTTCAGGGGAATGACAGAATGTGACACACTTTTAAATGACCCTCTGGCCACGGAGTGGAAAGACAGTGGAGGTAGGAGTCCAAGCAGAGATAAAAGCCACTGCTGTGCTCTAGGTCAAGGCTCCGCAACCACAGAAGAGGAAACTTGGGGACACGCCAGTCAGCTGACTAGCCCCAGAAACTGGAGTCCCTCAGTGGTAGCGGTGACAGATACGGAAACGCACATTAAGTACTCCGAAGAGGATTCAAGGAATTTTTTCTAATCAAAATGGTGAAGGTATTTAAAACACGAATTTCGGAAAACTAAAAATAAATAATTTGCTTATACTGGGAACCAACAAAATGGCTGACGATCATCCTCCATAACCAACACAGATCAACTGGAACAGACGTGTCCGATACATCTAACTCCAGCTGCAGTTAACCAGCTGGATTACCATGAGGGCTAAAAGAAACTTCTGTTTCCAGCAATAAAGCCAAGCTCACCCCAGGTACTATTACCTGTACGGTTTATCCTAATGAGACGAGCTGCAAGGTCGCTGAGATCTCAGAATCCCTGCTTAGATTTTCACATTAATGGGCAATGTCGGCCTTCAGCAAGAATGTAATACAGAGCATGAAGGTTGATGTACTTTTCCTTCTCATTAAAGCAAAATATTTTAGCTTCTTTTGACTAACATCTAAATTACCCATATCAAGAAAGGTTTGTTAACGATCTTTCATTAGTATTGACTAATCATTCAACTTGAGAAAAATGAGGCCTCGGTTAGTGACTAATCCAATATCATAGAGTCAATTAATGACACAGCTTGGCTGATAAGTGCAAATAAAGGTTTTTGCATTTTATCATGTTCTTCGCCCGTTGGCAGATGAAGCAAAATGTAGCCAGTTATTAGCTCTAGGTTCAGCACTCAGGGAAATGCTGACGTGTGAAGTACACCCAGAGAAGGATGACCGGGATGATAAGGGCTTCAAGGCCATGTCACATGCAGGCCGACCAAGGCCGCCAGGGACATTGAAGTCGAAGAAGAAAATGCTCATGGAGCCACATGACCAACGGACCTATTTGCCTCCATTTATTTTACATTCTTCAGAGAAAAGAACCAGGATCCCATAAAGTGACAGAAGAGGCAGATTTCAGGTCAACAAGAGACTTTTCCAACGGAGTTCTGTCCAACAAGGGACTTGTCTCTCTCATCAAGTAGTGAGCTGCCCAGCAGCAGCTTCCAGGCTAATTAGTAACACAAACCACTGGCCTCGGCCACAGGGCGTGTAAGCGGGATCACAGCTGACCTGCGGTTCTTTCTGCGAAGTCACTGCCTCCCACTTGCCCACTTACTCAACTGTTTCCTGAATTCAATAGCCCAAAGCATGTGCAAAATGTCTTAGAAGTCTCGTATTTTACTTAAATATTTAAATAAAAATTTAAAGTGATTTTTAAAAAGCGATCTGCACTCTGCACCATGTCTGTGTTGGTCCCCACAGCCCTGCTGCCTCCCAGCCAACGCTCATGTGCCGCTTACTCTGTGCCCGGCACCGTTCTCAGCTCTTGCCACGGCCCCCGCAGAGGTCCTACGAGGCAGGTACTGCTACCGAGTCCATCACGCAGCCGAGAAGACGGAGGCACGGAGAGGCTACGTGCCTGTCCGAGGACACGCAGCGGATCCCAGGCAGTCTGGCCCTGGTGCTTCAGCCACTCTGCACACCGTCGCACGCCTGAAATGCTCCCTCCCCAGTGCGAGATGTGCACCACGGAGCATCAGATCAGACGAGGCCCTCGAACCGCATCCCACTCGAGGACTTTATCACCTGGCCACGAAAAACGGTGGATGAATGCGGAGCGGTGTTTACTGACTTCAGCGTCAGGCCCCCATTGGGTGTCGGTACAGACGCATTTACGTTACAATGAGTCCGCATCCTTCTGCACACTTACCAACACACATGCTCCTCAACAGCACATACTAACACTTACCATGTGCTGGACACCGTTCCAGGGGCTGGGGACAGCTATAAACCAGACACACAAAAACGCCTTCGCATTCACGTCCAGAAACACAACACAGAAAATGAGTAAAACAACCAGGGGCAGAACAGCAAGTAACTGCCAGGACCTAACACAATAATATAAAAAAAAAAAAAAAAAAAGTCAAAGCAAAACCAATACTATAAATTAGCTGCCACCAGAGAAAAAAATTTGTGATTTACCATCCAGAGAACAGAGTAAGATATATCTTAAAAAACAACTCACCGATAATATAAATGGCCAATAAGCATATGAAAGAACTTTCAACCTCCGACGTTATCAGGTAAATACACAATAATGGTTGACAGGCTGGCAAAACCACAGTAAGATATACGACTAGCCCACGAGAGACGGACAGTGTCGAGTGCCGGTGGGATGTGGGGCAACCAGGACTGGGAACCTGTATGATCACCTGAGCAAACCATCTGGTGTCACCCACTGAGGGTTAACACAGTACCCTATGACCCACGTGTCCCGCTCCTAGGTACGTGTCCGCTGGAAACGCTCACACACACACCCCACAGGAAACGGTAACATTATCCAAAGCAGCAGTACTGATAAGAGTTCCACACTAAAAGCAACCAAATATCCATTAACGGTGAAAGAGATTTAACTGTGGCATGATACTGTATAGTAATGAAAATAAACTTCAGACACAGGCGATGGCACAGAGGAATCTCATCAACGTCACGTGGAGCCAAAAAGAGCCAGAATAAAAGAATACTCTACTGTACACAGTTTCCAAACAGGCGCACCTGACTTACGGCAGCAGGGCTCAGAGCAGCAGTCCCCCTGGGGAGGACGTGGCAGGGAGCGGGACTGAGCACGGCCATGGATGGCTCCCGCGGAGCCCAACGCTCTGCCCGCGATCCGTGCGACAGGTACGTGGGGTACGTGGCAGCTGCAGGGCTTACACGCACTGCTCCGCTGAAGCGGACGCTTTCTGGTTTGCAAGAGCCGATCATTAAATTTTTAGGAATTTTGTGAGCCAGCTGTAAAAACACAGCCATTAATGAAAATCAAATGACACAAACTTTGAATAAACTATATTAAAAACAAAGGTAACAGATACTCAAAACGCCTCCCTTCTCATTATTTAACTGTCACTTATGCACGTGAGGTACTTCCGCCCGCAGTCGCGTGCCAGCAGAGACCCTACAGCACGGAACGCTACTGCCCACCTCATTTCAACCGAGACCGGTGACGTTGGACAGCCT